CTGTTGCTTTCTTGCTAATTTTTAAAATCCATTGTATATTATCCAATGGTAACATTTTAAATACAAATTTACATCTTTTTTCTAAATTATTTTTTGAAGACGGGTTTATTACACAGCTTTAGTATCCCATGGACTCCTGGCTGCGGCCCTCTAGTCATTGTGTGAGTACAGAAAGTTATAAGGAAACATTAGAATGCTACTTTTAATCTCCGAGGAATAAAATTGTGGCCAACTTTAAATTTCTTTTTAGTGTTTTCTACTTTGACTTTCTTTCATATGTTTTCTGTCATGAATAAAACTTTACAGTCAAGAAAAAAAATGATTTTTTAAATAAAAACAGATTCATCACCTGAGGATGCATATCTACCTTCTGATAGAGAAGGTACTCGGACACTCTCACTGTAAAAGAAAAAGAAAAAAGGGGGGGAAAAAAAGAAGAAGCTAAAGATGCAGTACAACCAAATCCACAGAAGAGGCCAGAAGTGAACGGGGCAGCCGCAGACAGGTGGGGGCGAACACCAAGCAGGGAGGGGAGGGAGGCTCTGCAGCCAGCGTCCGCCAAAACCCGAGAACCTGAGCATCAGGCAGACATCCAGGGCCCACCTGGGCAGCCAAATCGGGTCCCTTCCCCACCTAATCCTGACACTCCCTCCAGAGGGTCTGCAGCCTCAGCAAACTACAACCCTGTGTGTATAAAGATGCTGAGATTTTGTGGCCAAAGTCATCCCTCATCTTCTGGGACAGCTTGAAACTGGATCACCCCAGGATCTGTATACCTAGAACTGCAGGCTGGCAGGACCCCATGGCAATAGAAATGCAAATCCTCTCTGGAGGAACCTAGGCCTTAGGAAATCCTAGAGCTCTGGGGCTTGCCGGGTGGGCACTAGGGTGGTGGGTGAGAGAGAGAAATGGATCCCAAGCTCACGACACGCAAAAATCAATTCCAGGTGGATTAAAGGCTCGACTCTAGCCAGGTGTGGTGGCACACACCTGTAATTCCAGTGACCTGGAAGGCTAAGGCAGGAGGATCATGAGTTCAAAGCCAGCCTCAGCAACTTATCAGACCCTGTCTCAAAATAGAAACACACTGGGGCTGGGGCTGTAGCTCAGTGGCAGAGTGTTGGCCTAGCATGTGTGAGGCACTGGGTTTGATCCTTAGCACCACGCAAAAATAAAGGCATGTTGTCCATCTACAACTATAAAAAAAAAATAGTTATTTTTTAGTTGTAGTTGGACACAATACCTTTATTTTATTCATTTATTTTTATGTGGTGCTGAGGATAGAACCCAGGGTCTTGTACATGCGAAGCAAGTGCTCTACCACTGAGCCCCACCCCAGCCCACCAAAAAAAAAAAAATAATAAATAATAAAAAAAGTTAATGGGGCTGGGGCTGGGGCTCAGCGGTAGAGCGCTCGCCTACCACATGCCGGACACTGAGTCCGATCCTCAGCACCACATAAAAATAAGAGCATTGTGTTGAACTACAACTAAAACAAACCAAAAAAAGTTACAAAATAAAACATACAAAACAAGGGCTGGAGGGGCTGTGGCTGTGGCTCAGTGGTAGAGCACTTCCCTGGTAGGCGTGAGAAACTAGGTTCGATCCTGGCACCACATACAATAAACAAAATAAAGATATTATGTCCATCTACAACTACAAAAATATTTAAAAAAAGGGGGGGGGGGCTGGGGATGTGGCTCAGTGATTAAACGCCCCTTTAAAAAAAAAAAACTGCGCAGTTTCCCCATTTAAAGTCACTCTTTTTTCTCTGTGTATAAGTATTTTTTTTTTAATTTTTTTTATCTGTAGATGGACACAATGCCTTTATTTTATTTATTTATGTCTATGTGGTGCTGAGGATCGAACTCAGGGCCTTGCACACACAAGGCAGGCGCTCTGCCACTGAGCCACAACCTCAGCCCCAGTGTGTATAAGTATTTTATGGAGAGGTCATGAGACAATGCAAATAGCTTGCTGGTACATTTCCATCCATACATTGTAGCATACCATTTGGCAATCCTTCCTTCTACATTCATTAATTGAAATCTTTAGCAGGGGGGGAAAGGTTCCCTTTTTTTCTCCTTATTTATACTAACATGAACTTTTAGGTATTTTATTTTATGAATTATAATCCTTACTTATTTTGTTCTCAAGTTGTTCCAGACTAGGCCATTGGGAGCTTTTTCAAGTGGGTTCCCAAGACCTTTCAACAGGCCCCCATCATTAACCAAGTAATCAACGTTAACATCATTACCACTGTGAGATACATCAGTGTACTGCATTAGCAAGGTGGTGGTCTTGTCAAAATGCCTAAACTGAATTCAATCGTAAATGCACATCAGACCACTTCAAATTGAGGTTTTTCTATAAAATAACTAGCCAGCAATCTTCAAAACTGCCAAAAATCTTGCAGGAAAAAGACTGAAAACCTATCCCAGGTTGGAAGAGATTCAGGAGACATAAGCAGCAAATGTAATGTGGATTCCTGGACTGGATCCTAGATCACAAAAGACTTGTGGGGCAATGCACACAATTCAGTAAGACCTAGAGGTTAGTTCTATTTTATCTCCTGATTTGATAGTGGCTTTATAGTTAAGGTGTTAAAACATTTGTGGAAACTAGATGAAGGCTATGCAAGAATTATTTGTGCTATTTTTGTAAACCTGAAATCATATTAAAATGAAAAGTTTGCTTTGAATGTAACTATGAAAAGTCGAATAGTACTAATTTTACAAGACACATAGGGAAAAGATCACTTTATGATCTTTGGCTAGGTCAAGATCCTGAAGATACAAAAGTATGAATCACAAAGGAAAAGTATAGGTTATGAATGATATCTGTTCAACAGATGATCTATAAACAAAGAGAAAAGAGAAGACCCAAACGTGCAGAAGACTTGCTTCACACTAGTGAATACAGCTTAGTATTCAGAATATATAAGGAATTAAATCAGTAAGAAAGGTCTAAGAAACGGGCAACCAGGATCAGGAATTTCAAGAACAGGACTAGACAATATATCTTGTTAGTAGTCAGTAAACACGAATAAAACCTCTCAAAAAGTGAAAAAGGAGGGGCTGGGCATGGTGGCGCTCCCCTGTAATCCCAGCAGCTTGGGAGGCTGAGGCAGGAGGATCATGACTTCAAAGGCAGCCTCAGCAAAAGTGAGGCACTAAGCAACTCAGTGAGACCCCATCTCTAAATAAAACACAAAATGGGGCCAGGATGTGGCTTAGTGGTTGAGTGCCCCTGAGTTCAATCCCTGGTAACCCCCCTCAAAAAAAATAAAAAAGTGAAAAAGGAGGCCAGTATCAAGCCTTGGCAACAGTATGGATCAAGTGGAATTTTTTTGTACACCAACAGGAGAGCATATATATTGGTTCCCCCACTTTGGAAAACATTTTGGCATTACTTAGCAAAATTAAATAGACCTATAACCTATGAGCCAGCAATTTGAGTCCTGGGCATATGCCCTGGAGAGGCTCTAGCATAACACCTGCCACAAGACCTGGCTGAGAACGCTTTGACAGCACTGTCTGTAATGGCAAAAAGCCACAAACAGGGGGCTGGGGATGTGGCTCAGTGGTAGAACACCCCTGGGTTCAATCACCAGTACCATGAGGAAAAAAAAAAAAAAAAAATCAGGAAGAAAATTTAGTGAACATGAAATAATAGAGTCCAATGTCTTTAACTACAATATTGTCAAAAACTCACAATATTCATTCAAGACTGAACTCCTTGGAGAAGACAGCGCCGTCAAGGTTGAGAGAGGAAGCATTAGGCCCCAAACATGCAAGCAGAAAATCTGTCCCACAAACACCCACACCCCCAAAGGCAGCAGGAATGGCCTGGCCTGGGGGTTGCCTCAAACGTCGCACCCTGGAAAATTCTGACAGTTAACTGGTATCACCTCAACTATGAAGAAAACGCACTTTTTTATATGTCTTATGGTCCTGGTAGAAAATCACTGCATGATTTTTTTTTTTCTTTCAGTTATTCCTGACCTAAATATGATGGGAGGGCCAACACAGTCTAAGCAACTATCTCTAGCCCTGAGGGCACGTAGGGCATCACTAGAAAGGAAATCTTTTATAGGCTGGAGCTTTGGCTGAGAGGTAGAGTGCTCACCTAGCATGCGTGAGGCACTGGGTTCCATCCTCAGCACCACATAAAAAAATAAAGATATTGTGTCCACCTATAACTAAAAAATATTTTTTTTAAAAAAAGAAAGTAGACATTACCAAAAAAACAGGATCTGAAACATAAGCAACAAAAGTGCACAACAACAGATATCATCGGTTAACACAAAACCGCACAGATCTCAGATGTCAGGGAGCGGGAGAAGTCACGTCTCAGGTGGTCAGAAGCAGCTCCCTGGTGTTTCAAGTCCAGGCTGGGGGCAGTGGGTTCCCACAGCCCCCGACACACACACCCAGCACAGGAAAAACCACACAAGGCCAGAGCCCAAAAGCGCAGGGAAGGGAAATCAGGTCCCACCAGCACTGTCCCTTGTGGTGGCAAGAGAGGAACCACAGGAGAGTGACTGTCGGTTTGTCATGCAGAGGTTTCCCAGCTGGTATACCACAAGTTTACGACCAAACTGGTAAGAAGAGAGTTTGAAGTATATTTTGAAGCAGAGGTGTCTGTTTTTATGTAAAGCTGTTTTAAAATATGCGATTTTAATAAACACTTTGTGTATATTTCCAAATATATACAAAATATTTTGAATAAAAACCCCATAAATATGATACACACCACAAATAGGAAAAAGCAAAATTCAGCAATCCTAGTCCCATGGAATCAGAGGCTGTGCTTTCTCACTCTTTTTCTGTACTTTCCAAGTTAGATTTTTAAAGATAAACAGGGCTGGGGTTGTGGTATAGAGCACTTGCCTAGCGTGTGTGAGGCCCTGGGTTCGATTCTCAGCACCATATATGAATAAAAAAAATAAAGGTCCATTGACAAAAATAAATAAATAAAATGAACAAATAAAACAAGAATTATTTTCTTTTCAGGTTTTACTTTTATAACTTAAAAAAATTACTTTACAAGCACATACATCAGTATTCATAAACACATGGATATCTTGGAGAAATCATAAGAAACTGATAACATGAGAACTCTGAGAAATTGCTTTACAAGATGGTATCCCTTTCTGTTATCTTTTTAATTCAACCCCATACTTATTATTTACTTAAAAACAAAAACACTTTTTGAAAAAAAAAAAAAAAAAATGATGTGCAACATAAAGGACGTTTCTATTTCCCTACATAATCTCCCCAGACCCTTCATGAACTCTCAGTCTTTCCTCAGTGAGACTCGCCACAATTCCGGCAGCATCAACTGGAAGGCAGAGGGTCTTGCTGGGGCACTTCACACTGATTGGTGGTCCGCGGACGACCTGGCGTGCTGCACCTGGCTGCCCACTGATTTCCGTATGACCATCACTTGAGGCTGTAGCTTGCTGGGAAGGGGAGGGAGGCAGGAGCCTCCCTGTGCTAAACTCCGTGAAGGCTGCCGCACTCTGGGCGGCCTCCTGGGCCACTCTGTGCTCCTCTCCTGTGGGCTCCTCCTCCTTTACAGCCGAAGCATCTCCTGTGTGGTGTGAGACTCCAGAGCTGCCATCAGGTCCTCCTGATCCTATCTGCTATGAGCACTGCTGAGTTTCCAGGTCTGCACACGTCATGAAGTAAGGTGGGTACTGGGAAAGTCTGCAGTGTCTTGTGAGTTTAAGTTAGTGGAACCTCAAACCCACCCTGGTGGGCCTCAATATGACAATAAACTAAAGGACCAAAGCACTTTGTCTTTTCACAGTATAATCAACTAAAATAATAATGATCTACTTATTAGATCACGAGAAACACAAGAATTAAGAATGTGATCTTTGGGCAGGGGGCAGTGGTGCACACCTATAATTCCAGCAGCTTGGGAGGCTGAGACAGGAAGATTGTGAGTTCAAAGCAGCCTCAGCAACGGAGAGGCAGTCAGCCACTCAGTGAGACCCTGTCTCTAAATAAAATACAAAATAGGGCTGGGATGTGGCTCAGTGGTCAAGTGCCCCTGAGTTCAATCCCCAGTACCCACCCCACTAAAAAAGAATATGATCTTCTGAAAACCAGTTGAGAGAATTTAGCTGTACTGTGCTATGGTTACACACCAAGTTAACAGCCAAGCCTCTCACCACTTGTCAGTTACAAATCGTTTACAGCAAGTAAGTGGTGACAAGGAAGTAAGTAACGCCAGCACTTGCAAATATTTTAATTAGAAAATGTGCCTCAAAAAATAGATTTAGCAGAATTATACTTTAGAGGTCAAAAAGTATCAGTTCAGATTAATTTAATCAGACTCCCTACTTTGTGTTTTAACTTTGTTCCATTCTACTAAGCATAAATATTAAATGCTTACAAAACATACTTAATTTGAAATGCTTAAATACAAAACAATTCATTATGGTCTCATCAGTACATTTATAAAGCACTGTAATGAAAACTAACAGCTCCAAATAAGTAGATAATATACACTATGCAAATGTTTATCCAACAAACAACATTTAGACATAGAAAAAGAACAAGCAATGTCAATTAGTGTTATTCTTTCAGTTATACTACATGAGGCAAAAAAACCAAATGTTCAAGTTCTAGTAGTGATAATAAGATTAAGCTACTTTCTAAACTGAATTAAAAAGTACTTAAATTGTTAGAAAATTTTGACTTTCCAGTTGGCAACAAAATAATGTGCCAAGAGACCAAATCAGTGTTTTAAAGCCAGCGTTAGGTGGTTGATGCACACGTCCCCAACTGCAGAACACTGGGATTCTCACAAGAATCTCACAAAAAGCCCAAGAACATATCCAACAAAAAAACTACCCTGTGTACTCTGGGGTTTTTTTTTTTGTTGTTGTTGTTTTTGTTTTTTTAAGTGGCAATCAGACTTTTAACCTAATAAGAGAACTATTTTTGTAAGTCATACAGCTAGGCCAGGTGTGGTGGGGCACACTTGTAATCCCAGCAACTCAGGAAGGCAGAGGCAGGAGTTTGAGGTCAGCCTGGGCAACTTAGCGAGACCCTGTCTCAAAATTAAAAATAAAAAAGGCTGGAGTTGGGGCTCAGTGGTAAGGAACCCTGAGTTCAATTCCCAGGACAACAAAACAGTCCCCCAGCAGTGTTCATCTCCTCTTCAGCTGAAAGGGTGAAGTACAATCGCCACAACCTTGTTACAAACTAAAATCCAACAGGTAATTCCAACACCACCTGAAAATAAAGAAATTGAACATGAGAGCATGCAGACAGGCTCGCCACACTTCCTGCCTGTCACCTTCAACTTAATTAGAAGAAATTACAGGACTGCAATTCCTTCTGAGCAGTGCAGGGTGAAGAAAGGCTAAGTTCATGGGTTGAACTCTGTCAGACAGATCCACAGGGCAACATCATTACTAAGCAGAAATTACACTGAACACAGGCCCTGGTTTGAGTTCCCTTTCCTGCCAGAAAGATGCATTACTATGTATTATAACAACAGACTGGAAGAACTCTGCTTAGTAAAGAAAATTCACTAGTAAAAAGTGAATTGATACAGTGCCATGATCTACATGCTTGTACCGCCCAAACCACATGCTGAAACCCTAACTCCAGTGACAGTGTAGGAAGGAGGGCCTTTGGGGTTCTGAGACCTGAGAACTCATTCTTGCATTCGTAACAACACCTGAGAACAGGCAAGAAGGAGCCACCTATGAACCAGAAAATGCACCCTCAAGCCAGGCACAGTGGTGCACACCTATAATCCCAGCAGCTCGGGAGGCTGAGACAGGAGGATTTCGAGCTCAAAGCCAGCCTCAGCAATGGCAAGGCTCTGGGCAACTCAGTGAGACACTGCCTCTAATAAATAAAACACAAAATAGGGCTGGGGATGTGGCTCAGTGTTGAGTGTCCCTGAGTTCAATCCCCAGGAAAAAAAAAGCACTCTCATCAGACACAGAACCTGAAGCACCTTCATCTTGGACTTCCAGCCTCCAGGAAACAGAATAGTAGGATGATATGTACCAGATGTTCTTAGCTACATCAGATACATGGAAAAAAATATACTTCTATAAAAGGTGTTATCAATAACAAATGGGTTGTTTGGCTGTTTTTGTTTGGTTGGTTTTTTGGGGGTACCAGGGACAGAACCCCAGTCGCTGGGATTACAGGTGCATACTACAATGACCAGCTTGGGTTTTCAATTGTTCCTATATTTCTTTTTCTTTCTTGCTTGCTTTCTTTTTTTTTTTAAATAAATTAACTCCTGTATTAGGACTACTTAGGAAACAATGTATTCAGTAACACAAATACTGATAATTGCAGATGACTGATTTGGAAGATCATTCAATTTTTTGTACATCATCAGTGTTCCTGTATTTCTAATCATTCTTCAATAACATGTACTATTTTTTTAATTTCTTTTTAATATTTAGTTGTAGATGGACACAATACCTTTATTTTATTTATTTATGTGGTGCTGAGGATCGAACCTAGTGCTCCACGCGTGAGAGGCAAGTGCTCCACCACTGAGCCCCAGCCCAGCCCAGACATGTACTACTTTTAACATCCAATAGAGGTTATCTTTCAAAAGTAAAAGAAGGGTTGACAGCAGCAAGTGTGCAGAAAGGCCAATCTTACTACAGACTGAAAAGACAGAACTTGGGAACAAGAGGTAGTGTTTAATGAAGGGTGCATCAGAATCCCCAAGTTGGGCCTGGTTCCTAGAAGCAGACCCCAGCTGATTCGAGTCTGTTCTTTAACACTGCAGTGACCATGGACAAGTCAAAGAGCTTCTCTGGACTTCATTTTCTTGACTGCAAGCCTCGTACAAAGCTGAGACAAACCACAGATCACCAACAGATGGCGAGTGAGGACGATGTCAGGTAACTCAATCTCCCACCACACACCTCTGCAGGGTCTTCCACTGTGTTTTCCAAAAAGTTCTTACCTGCTACTCTGGTAGGGAAGGCTACCAGGCGGTCTAGCGGTGTTATCCATTTACTTGGCACAACAGCCACGGGGACAGAATAATACTTCCAAATGAGCGAGATCATCAAGGCTGCCTGGAAAGACACTTCCAGTGAGTAAAGAACACGTGCCATCACACAGATAATCACAGGGAAGAAGGCGGAAATGTAATGAACACTGAGACACTGACAGCCCCAAGCTGTGTCAACCCAGTCCTCAAAGCCAACAGAACAGACATACCAGCTCTGCTGTCCAGGGCTGCAGCCTCGAGAAGGAACATCTAGCTGAGGAGAGTTCATAAGCACGTCCAGAATATGCTGCCAACAAGCAGCTGAGCGCTCTCCCGGGAACTGGCATCTTACTATTTTGTTATGAATCCACATATACACTATGTAAGTTAGCTGATAAGCTGACCAAGTCCTCGCTTAAGACAGGTGTTCTGTTCCCACTGCCTGTCTCTGACTAGATGAACTACAGCTGAATACAACAGAGAAAGACAGAAGCACACCCTTGCCTCTAAGACCCTTGAAAAATGAGCTAATGCCCCCAACAGCTGTGTCAGTGTAGGAGTGCACAAGTGAACCCCAAGTTTCAAAGTTGAGTGGAAAACTGAAGAGTGGCTTTCTGTCCCATTCATGATCTTGAATATGCCATGAAAATGAACAGACTTAAAAGGGGCACTGGGGTAACCCCTATGTCTCTGAATCAATGTGGCATCAAATACAGTGCCTCAGATCATTTCACTTCAGTGTACCCCAAAACCTGGACTTTGCAAGGTAGGTTTTTGAATACTTCAGCTCAGTAAAGACCATACATAATGTTAAACTCCTCTCAAGCAGCCAGAGGCCTGCCCTGTCAGCACACAGCCACAGCCTCATACAAGCAGCAACAGAGGTGGCAGCCCCAAGGGAAGCCTCACAGCAGAAGTCTGTAGCTAAGAAGCTGGGGCCTCGGAGTGCTGTCTGTGCACACCAGGGAACAAGTACTATCCAAAATGACTGCAGATATTAGAAAATACAAGTTTTGTAAACTTCTTACAACATCCCCGGGCCCTTAAAACTGTACTGGAACAGAGGCAAGGTGGGAACTCCCAAGAGGTCACTTCAGGGTTCATTTGCCAAAGTCCCAACCTCTAACAACTCGGCCCCAGAGAAAGGCTCTCTATCAGTGTAATTAAAAATTCACAGGTGGGGCTGGGATGTGGCTCAAGTGGTAGCATGCTCGCCTGGCATGCGCGCAGCGCTGGGTTCGATCCTCAGCCCCACATACAAATAAAGATGTTGTGTCCGCCAAAAACTAAAAAATAAATATTAAAAAATTCTCTCTCTCTCTCTCTTTAAAAAAAAAAATCAGTCAAAAAAAAAAAAAAAGAAATTCACAGGTGTCAGAGTCACATGCTGGAGGACCCCATGACATGGCAGCTTAGTGTTCTTAGGCCCAAGTTCCACAGGCCACAGCATCTGGAGACAAGTCACAAAGGCCCTGGTGACAGTACACTTACTTGCAATATGTAGAAAGCAACACTCATCACCCATTTTATCTTGGCTAGTTGAGCTGTCCGTGCTTTCACTGAAAGGAAGAAGAGAAGCAGGATGAACCGTGATGCAGTCCTGACAACAGGAGAAGACACTTCGACCACAGACACTGCCTCAGGAAGTACCTCCAGGTAGAGACAAGAACGATCACCCGAGACATTTAGACATATAAGACAGAACTTCTTAAAAGTCACTCAGATTGTGAGGTCAGGACAGCTTCACTTTTGAGAACCCTCAAAATTATTCAACTCCACCAGAGGTTCTTTTTATAATGCCTTGTCAACAGTAATAAATTCTCTTCCCTACTTCCTGGTCTACATCACACAGAAACCCCAAGCAGGAGTCTAGATGGTCCCCAGCCTAAAGATGTGCTTTCCATACCTTGAAGACAGCTCTCTCACCACGCACAGGCCAGCAGGGCCTTCGGCACATGGCTGTCCTTCACTCAGATCACGACAGTTTTGGGCATTTTCCAGAAAGCAGAACAACCCTACAATATCTTTTTCTAGGATTCCTTTCTGAGAACCCACTACAATATCTTTTTCTAGGATTCCTTCAGAAAAATGCTGAATTTGAAAATGAAACCCTAGGGCTAGGGTCATGGCTCAGCTGTAGAGCACTCGCCTAGCATGTGCAAGGCCCGGGGTTTGATCCTCAGCACCACATAAAAATAAATAAAGGTATTGTGTCCAACTACAACTAAAAAATAAATATTTAAAAAAGAAAATGAAAACCTACAAAGATACATTGACTCCAAAGAAAATCTAAAAGGATTCTTAAATGTTTCTGTGTTTAGAATGCAAAGCTTCACCAGCAAATCAGGAGAAAGTAATATTTATTACTGGGTTTCTTCCAGACAACATAAAAAATTTCTATCAACATTTAGAATGCCTAAGAAGCAAAGCCTGTGTCCTACAAATCCATATATAGAGAATTCTCTATTAACCAGCTCTCGCGACACTTTCCAGGTGCCACTCACTGCAATACCATGAGTCTTGAGCTTGTCCGTCATCTTGTTGATCTTCCTTTCCAGCCTGGCGTATCTGGCAAACTCGTCCATCATGTTGACCGTGGAGAGCTCTTGCTTCATATCCTGGATCTCTGCCCTCATCTGCGACTCCTGCTCTGCATCCTTCTGCAGCACCCTGGACATCTGGCAGGGTGGAAGGCCGAGATCAGTATCTTCCCATGTGGGGTAGAGAACGGCTCCACAGCCCTCCCCTTTCCTTATATGTTCTGACTGAGAAACACAGTGTGCTTTCTACTGTGACCCAGCCAGCTGCCTATTTTCCTTGCAGGCTTGAACCCAAGATGTGGCTTTGAACATTCCCAGATCCTTACATGGGTCAGGCTATTGCTGGAAAACACTGGGTGATTAGCTTTGTTGCTCAACATGTAGAAACCAGCCACCCTCAGAAAAGCCGCTCACGCTCAAACACCCACATAATGGGGGCTGGGGCTGTGGCTCAGTGGTAGAGAGCTCGCCTAGCATTCATGAGGCACTGGGTTTGATCCTCAGCACCACATAAAAACAAAATAATATGTCCATCTAAAACAAAAGATACATAAATCAATAAATATTTTTTAAAAAACACCCACATAAACTCTGTAATCCAACCCCCTTGTGGAGGACATACCTAGGAAAAACATATCTTATTTCTTTCTCACTGTCTGTCACAAGGATGGCTATGTTAATTCCCCTGAGAAAAGCTCTGCACAGATTATCCCAGTGTTTAGAGCTTCTTTCTTTGGAATCCCACCCAGCCCTGTCTTCAGATGGTTTGGAACAGCCTCTTGAGGGAACACCCCTGCCAAGGCTTTTGAGGTGACTCTGGCCATGTTTGGCTGCACAGGACAAACCAACATCATATTGCTGTGCCTTTCAAGCTTCCCATGACCTACATGGCCAGGCTGTGGCATTTTCCTAGCCTTTCCAACAGCACAAAGAAAGCCCAAAACTCTGAGCTGAGGTTGACACTCAGTGGCAGAGCGCTTACCTCTCACGCGTGAGGCCCTGGGTTCTATCCTCAGCACCACATAAAAATAAATAAAAATAAAGACATGTGTCCATCTACAACTAGGAAAAAAATTTTAAAAAAAGAGAAAGCCCCAAATTCCCTTGAATTTGAATGACTATACAAATGACATTTTCCCTTCTGCAGATATGCCATGGATTACTACAGTACAAATGTGTGTATTTTTTACTTATAAGAATCCAATTAGCATCATAAAATAAAAATCAATTCCATCATCACTGCAGCCATTTAAGTGACAGGGAACATAATCCTGTTCCCGTCCTGAAGAACTGAGTCCTACATTAGATGGGGCTGAGAAGGTGGGGGTGCAGGGCATCAGTGATGAGGTAGAGGCCTAGAGCAGGGTGTCAGAGCCCAGTGGGGAGGGTCTTCCCACACAGGGGCACCTGATCAAGGCAGATCAGGGCCAAGCATAGTGATAGAGGACCCCCAAGACAGCGCTGCCAGACAGGGAGTCAGAATCTGAACAGGTGAGGAACACAGATGGCAAATCAGAAAACAGGAACCCCACCAAACATGGCATCAGAAGCCAAGCAGGAATGAAGCAGCCATCCACACTGGGTACAGGTGACAGAGGAGATGGGAGATTATGGGCAAGGACATCACATAAGCATTAAAGGTAAGGAGAGTCGGTCTTCTGTCAGAAAAAGACAGAAATGGGTATTGGGAGAGAACTAGAACTTAGAACTGGAAATATGGATATGAACTCGTGGTTTGAGAAAAAGTACTCTCCCCAGCAAGACCCAGAGGACTCCACGGGCAGAGGAATCCTGTATGGAATTGTAGCCCACCTAGACTGACTGCCACCCAAAGGCCTCTCCCCCTCCCATATACCTATGCCAGTGGGCCAGGAACATGAGGATGAGATGACAGTGGCCGCCAGGTGGCGCCCACCAACTGTTCAAGATGGGCCTGGGTCAGAGCACTGCAAGGGCACACTGAGGCAGAGAGGTCCTGGTGGGGAAGCGCTGGCCTCCAGCAACCTGCCCGGCGTAATGAGCAAACACCCCAAAATGGAAGTCCTGTGCCAGTGGACGAGAAGCAATGAAAACACAGCACCCCTCCTGAGAGAGCCAGGCCAACACTGAACAAAACCAGCAAGCATGGCCCTGGTGCTCAGTCCCGAAAGTCAAGGCCAGCCCCATCTGAAAATCAGCTGGTGGGAGGATGACACAAGCTGCCTGGCTCCTCGAGGCCTCCAGGACTTCTGGGGACAAGCATGGGAACATCCCTGGACACAGGATGGATGTTCTTCCATCTAGGGAAGGGACCAAGGCCCCTACAGAGCTCCAGACCCTGAAAAGCCCAGATGCCACTCTCCGCCAGGGCCAGCACCACCAGCTGGAACCTGAGCACTAGCAGAGCTCCAGGCCTGCAGCTGCCCCTCCTCCTAGGACACTGGTCCCCTCATAAGAGCACCCCAGACAGCTGTATACTGTTCTCCACCCCAGGGACCCCAGGCACGTCCTGTGAGTCGGCTGTGTCCTAACGCTTGGAGACTCACGGCAGGGACTCGCTGAGAGCCTGACTGCTTTGGAAAGGAGATGTCTAAGAAACATGCCACTTGGGCTGGGGATGTGGCTCAAGCGGTAGCGCGCTCGCCTGGCATGCGTGCGGTTCAATCCTCAGCACCACTACAAAGATGTTGTGTCCACTGAAAACTAAAAAGTAAATATTAAAATTCTCAAAAAAAAAAAAAAAAAAGAAAGAAACATGCCACCCACACAGATCCTGCAGTGTCCACCTCTCCCTCAATCCTCTAGTGCAAAGGGAGATGGCCGCGTTTTCCAGCAAAAAGTGAAAGATGATTTTGAAAATGCTAGGGCTATAAAACAGTGGTAGGCCCCACAAACCTAACCCAGAGGCGGCCTGCACCATACCCAATTGTCCGCAAAGCTAGGTATCCAGGACGAGCTGCTGGCGGCACCTACACAGTACCTGTGGCTCGCCAGGACCCTCACCCCAGCCTCTGCCACACCAGGCCCCAGGAGCTACCCGTAGTATGAGTCTCTTGCACCTACACAGCAAATCAACAAAGTGGACTAAAAGGGCAAAAGACTTGCCCAGACAGCCTCCAAAGAAAATATGCAGCTGTGAGGGTAGAGATAAAGATGGTTTCTCTTACTGCACCCTCACAATGCAGGTACGGCTGTTGATACCAAAATACACAGGGACTTCCGACCAGCAAGTAGCAATCAACTCCATACCAGCGAGGTGTCCTCTAATTCATTCAACTCTGACACTATCTACCAAGAAACAGTGTCAGATCCCACAGGTATAAGGCTTAGTCCCACAGGACAATCCTCACCTCAAACAATGGTTACAAGTTCCAGCCTCTGGAATTTCTGGCAGACAACTACAAATTAGCGTTTCCATGAGTCGCTCTTTAGGTTCCATTAATTTGCTAGACCAAGGCCTGGGAGTGTAGCTCAATGGTAGAGGACTTGCCTAGCATGCAAGAGGCCCTGAGCTCAAGCCCCAGCACTGCAAAAAGAAAAAAAAAAAAAACTTGCTAGCCCAGCTGGCAGAACTCAGGGAAACACTTGCCGATTTTACAAAGGATATGTTAAAGGATACAGATAAGCAGCCAAGAGATATGAAAAGGGAGGTCTGGAAGAATCTAAGCATGGGCACCCCATCCCCAGTTGAGGAGGACCCTCTCGGCACATAGATGAGTTCCTGTTCACTCTCCTGTGAGCCTTCACATGTTAGGCTGGCCAGAAGGTGCCACACCTTTCCTTTGGGAGATCTCACTACACAGGCATAACCGATGAATGGACAGCCACACAGGAATGAGAGTGGACATAAAAGTAAGGCCTACTGCTAATGAGCTGAGAAATTTCTTTGTGCTCAGCTCTAGACAGAAAAGTGGAAGAAGATTATATTTTTGGTTTCTATGACCTGTCTCAGGAAAGAGAATCTTGATTCCTATGGCCTGCCTTGGGGAGAAAAGGCAGGTGAAAGGAGGATGGGAGAAAATTGAGAGACACAGAATTTGCTTTCTGAGGCCTACAGTGCCCCCAAATTATTTAAAATTAAAAAAAAAAAAGGTCTTTAATCTTCATTGCTCTGAAGCCATTCCAAAATAACATTCATGGATGTTATGAGCCAGGAGCCACAAACAAAAAAACAAAATAAATAAATCATAATGCCACAGACTTCCATAAGCACATGGAGAGATGCTGGGAAATGCAAGTCAAAACTACAGTGACAGGGCGCTGGGGATGTGGCTCAAGCGGTAGCGCGTTCGCCTGGCATGCGTGTGACCCGGGTTCGATCCTCAGCACCACATACAAACAAAGATGTTGTGCCCGCCAAAAAACTAAAAAATAAATGTTAAAAAATTTAAAAAAAAAAAAACTACAGTGACAGACCACTCATCTATCAGGATGGCAACTGGTTAAAAACAACAATAACAAAAAATAACAAGTGCACTGAGTGGGAATGCAAATGGCCTGGCCACTGCGAAACCAGTGTGGCAGCTTCTCAGCAAAACTAACCAAACAGAATTCCCATCTGATCCAGCAATTCCACTTTTACCGGGGATTGAACGCAGGGGCACTCTGCCACTGAGCCACACTCTCTCAGCCCCCCCTTTTTTAATCTGGAGACATGTTCTCACTAAGCTGCCAAGGCTTGCATGGAAATTGCAATCTCCCTGCCTCAGCTCCCTGGGATTACAAGCACGCACCACCATGCCCAGCTCTAGCGATTTCACTTGTGATTATACCCAAAAGAGTTGAAAGCAACTGGAGTTAGGGTTGGGGTTCAAGTGGTGGAGTGCTCGACTAGCACATGTGAGGCACTGGGTTCGATCCTCAGCACCACATAAAAATAAAATAAAGATATTGTATCCACCTAAAACTAAAAAAAATTAAATATTAAAAAAAAGAATAGAAAGCAAGAACTCAAACACAGATTAATACATCCACTTCTAATAGCTTCACTTATAATAGCCAAAAGGAAGAAATAACCCAAGTGTCTATAAACAGATGAAAGGATAAATAAACAGGTGCACGCATGTAATCCCAGCAACTCAGGAGGCTCAGCACTTTAGCAAGGCCCTAAGCAACTAAGACCTAAGCAAGTGAGACCCTGTCTCAAAATAAAAAATAAAAAAACTGGGGATGTGGCTTAGTGGTAGAGCACCCCAGGGTTCAATTCCTAGTACCAAAAAAAAAAAAAAAAAGATAAATGGATAAACAAAATGTGGTACCAATATACAGCGAATATTATTCAGTCTTTAAAAAGGAAGGAAATTCTGACATATGCTACAACATGGATGAGATAGTATGCTAAGTGAAATAAGACAAAAGAAAAAAAGCTGTGGTTCCATTTACATGAGGCTCCTAGAGTAGCCAAACTGAGACAGCAGAATGATGATTGTCAGGGACTGGGGGAAAAGAATAGAGCTATTTTGTAATAGCCAAGAGTTTCAGCTAAAGGCTGATAAAAGATTCTGGGATAGGGATAGAGTAGTCTGCAAAACAATGAGAATGTCCTCCTGCCACTGGACTGTACAGCTAAAGATGACGAGGATGATGATGATGAATTCTATGTTATGTGTACTTTACAACGAAAAGAAAAAAGACAAATGTTTTAGTCAGTTTTTTCACTGCTGTGACCAAAAACCTGACAAGAACAATTTCAGATGACGAAAAGTTGGTTTGGGGCTCACAGTTTCAGAGGTCTCAGTCCATAGATGGCCAACTCCATTGCTCTGGGCCTAAGATGAGGCAGACCATCATGGCCAAAGAAAGCAGCTCAGGACATGGCAATTAGGAAACAAAGAGCTCTGTTCACAGGGGACAAAATATATACTCCAAAGGCATAACCCCAGGGACCCACCTCTTCCAGTCACACCCTACCTGCCTGCAACTATCACCCACTTAATCCTTCCAGTGTATAAGGCGCTGATTAGGTAAAGGTTCTCAACACCCGATCATTTTACCTCTAAACTTTCTTGCATCATCTCACACATGAGCTAAACCATAACAAAAAGGAAAAGACAGCTCTTCAGCAGTCTTTCGTGCAAGGTTTAGAACCTAGGATATTCTCTTAATCATCAGGTGGCATCAGGAAAGATTCTGAAGGGGAGCAGGGGTTAACAGAAAATCCTCTATACTTCAGGGTAAGGGGTTAAGGCCCTAGAATACAGTTTTGCCCAAAACAGACACTCAACCAATCCTAGTAGAATAAAGCAAAGAAGCAGAAGTCCTGCCTAGTCTTAAATATGCCACCACCACCAATTTTTATTAGGAGAGAAAGAGCTGTTTCTAGTCTGAAGTCTCAGTCTGAGTCAGACAGCCCCTCACTTTTGCTGTGAGCAAAGAGAGGGTGCCCGGCTCCCCGAGCCCCTGCCCTACAAATCCCTTACTATGCTCCGGTAGGCAGGAGTGCAGAACTGGAAGAAGCACAAGGCAAGGCTCCAACCTCCACCCAGTGGTCACTAGGTGGATGACTTAGTGCAACTACTACACTTTTATCTGGTCTCCTCCCCCGGGAGGTGAGAGTCGTTGAGGACATCCCCCCCCTCACAGCAGCCGGGACACCTGGCCACCAGGCTGAGGCACTCACTGCCGGGCGACACGTCGCGTTGCCCCCTCGGACCCCAAAAGCATCACACTGTACTGGGATTCTCTCTTCACCAGTCTCCCCGCCCCGCTCGTCCCAAAATGCGGGCCCCTGCAGCTGGGCTCCGTCGCTCCGGGACCTGGCACGCGGACCATGCAGCGAGGCCTCGGGAGGCCCCGTCCCTGCAGCCAGGGCCGCTCCAGGCCAGGGACCAGGGCTAACCGGTCGGCGGGGCTGGCAGCCGCGCGCCGGGCACCTTCTCCGGTCGCCGCCGCCACCCACGGCGGGAAGGCTCCGGCCACGTGAAAGCCGACCAGGACTGCGGCGCCTCCCCGCTCGGGAACCGGCTGCGGAGGGAAGACTCTGCGCCTTCAGATGCTGGGAACCAAAAACCAAATCACCTCACGACGGCGGCCGGCACGGCGCTGCGGCCCCCGGGCGGCAGGCCTGGGACCCCCGAGCGCGCCAGGGGGCCCTGCGGCGGCATCCCCACCGGCCCGGGAAAGGCAGGCAGCACTTACGAAGGAGGACAAGGACGGAAGGAGGATCCGCAGGACATTGCACCCAAACACGAAACAGAGCACCAGCAGCCACGCCCAGCGGTCGGCCTCGGCCGCGCTCATCCCGGACGCTCCCCGCCGCGCCAGCACCGCTACGGAAGCTCCATAGGGACCAAGCTGGCGGGCGCGCCCGCGCCTGCGCAATGTGTCCCACCGGCCGTGCTGCGGCGTGTCCGTACGCCTGCGCACTGCACCGCCTTGGGGAAGAGGCGGGGTCGACTTTTCCTCCCAATCCCGGTGGAGCGCAGGATATGCTGACCTTCCCCTGGCCTTCCTGGGTTCCGTAGTGGTGTCCTACCCATCCCGCTACCTGGGGTAACCAGTCTTCCAAAATTCCTGTTGGGTCATCGTCGCAACTGCAATTTGGTCATATATACAAACCATTTGTGTTATTAATACTTTATTTAAATTGACCCACTTTTGTTCCTAAGTAAACTTACTTTAAAACAAAATAAGCCTTTGGTTAAACAAAAACTACCTTATGGTGACAGGTAACTAAAAAATGTTTTCTCAGCAGTTTTTATATGTAAAATGTCTTGAGTGCACATTTCAGAAACTAAACACCAATAAATTTAAATGACGTATAAAATTGCACGCTTGAAAAATAAGTTCATGAATCAGAAGACAATGTTCAGACGCTGGAGACATATTCAGTGGTAGGGGCTTGCCTAGCAGGCACCATGCCCTGGGTTCAATCTCCAGCACCAAAACAAAATCATTTACAACCAATCTAATAATAAAATTTAGGTGAAGATCAGGTTTTGCAACAAAAGAATCACAACTCATGTCTGTGTAGTGTATAAAGCAAAAGATCTTTTGTTGTCTTTTCTGTCATGGTTAGATTCTGAGAACTAATTCCTATCCAAAATAATGCAAGGATCTGTGATTCTACACATTTGTTTCCAGAAAACACGTGAAGCACAGCTATTCAATAGCAGTAGAATGAATTATTTTCACGAAAAAGCATATTAAGTTGATAGGTGACTGCTAAACTAACCAAAACAAAACAAGCTTGGGGCCTCTCCCCATAACCTTCCCCTCCAGCTGGACCCCCCAAAAGGGCAGCTAGGCTCCAGGGTCCCCCAATCCCATGAGACTTCAATCCACACGGAAAAGGAGAAGCTGTCTGCTGAATAGTATGGCCATGCCTCCCCCTCCTTCAATCAACCCCAGCTGAACACCTAGGAATTAGTAGAAATCAGGTTTATTGGCTGCAGCTAGGTCCAGAGGAAGGCTTTTGCCTAAATCAATTCATTCCTCCGATCCCCAAGTTCAGAAATGTTTAGAATTTTATGCGCAGTGTGTATGCGCAGTGTGTAGGGGAGAGGGCACTAAGAAGCTCACCATCTGCAGAAGTCCACATAAAAGTAGGTTTCTTTTTTTTTCCTACTGTTCTGGACAATCAATCCAGACCTGGAAAATAAATCAAGGACACTCTCTAAGAAAATCAGTGCCCGGGAAAGGGAAATTTACCTTCCCCTCATTTGTACCATTTACTCCTATCTTTGGGACTGTAAAGGACTTTCCCTAGGATCCAACTACTGTCCTTTGAAAAGCAAACGATTCTGTGAAGGCTCAGGCCAACTAGAGGCCTTGAGTTAGTCTCCCTTATCGCAGTCTGCTTCTGTAAACATATTTCCCACCTGAAAACTTTTTTTTTTTTACAAAAATTCTTGCTCATAGTCTAAGAACAGTTTGGTGAGAGTCTTTGGAAAAGCTTAATTAAGATTTTCTGTGGAGGAGAGGTGCCATAACACAACTTCTGCTTTTCAGGCTGAAGAGGAAAGCATCTGATGTTCCCCACCCCTACCCACAGCCCATGCTGCTGTCACATATTCCCAGGAGAAAGACCCCTCCATTCCTAGTGAACAAAAATTCTGAGAAAAGAACACTGGAGAATGCCCCTAGACTGATGCAGCAGAGGTGGGAGAGACCCAGTGCTGCATGGCCTTCAGAGGTGACTCAATTTTAAAACCTCGGCTCTGCTGTTACTTCATTTGGGCAACTTTAAAAAAAAAAAAAGCAGTAGCAATAAAAGTTTGAATTCTACTAATTTGTGGAAAGAAAGTAGAAAAGCGGGCACATCTCAATATGAATCTGAATCAGTCAGTCTAGATCTGGTATAGGTTACAGTGGTTACAGAAGCTCATAGAATGACTGTTAGTTTTTTGATTCTGCAATCACAAGCTACCAAAATTAGTAGCTTAAAATGCATACATTTATTATCTGACAATTCAGAAATCTGAAATGCATCTCACTGGGCTAAAATAATGTTCTTGAGTGTCATGAGCCGTCCATGGGCTGTGTGTGGACTCATAGCCTCATGAGGGGATAGTCTGGCATTGGGAACCTCCCATTGGACCCCTACAGTGATTGACCACCTGATGCAAGTGAACTTCCCCCTCAAACTCTGCCAAAGATCCCACACAGCACCTGAGATGGGTATGACCTGAGAAGATGCCAATCAACCTGCTGACTGCAAGACACCAGGAAGCAAGACTCCGCCCTTGAAACTTTATCCCTGCCTTTGAGGCACCCCCTTAAATAAACCACCAGAGCCATCTTATCTTTGTCTGCTGGGAGCCATTAGCCAAGTGGGTATGACAATTTCCTTGCCAGCGTACCCCATGTTGCAGTGACATTGAATGTAGGTGACCTTGCTCAAGGACCAAGGCGGATTAGGGTGTTCCCGGTTTAGGGTGTTCCCGGTTTAGGTTCCAGGTTTAAGGTTTAAGATTATTCCTGCTGGGAATAGGGCGTATCCTGCTGCCTGAGTTCCCCTTGAGTTCTCACGGGATTCAGACAGTATATTTTGGAGATAGAAGCCCAGTGGAGGTGGATTTGGGCAGAGAATGTGGATTTCCCCAGAACGTGATTGTAGACGGCTGGTGTGAGTTCGGGAATAAAGAGTTGCTGTTTGAATCTACAAGCTGTGTGGTGGCTCGTGATTGTGTGCCCAGCCAGACTGCGGCATTTGTCTAGTTCCAGTGCCCAAGTGGACTAGGTATATCAGGGACTTTGCTTCTGTAAATATATTTCTGGCTATTTGTGTTTTGTCATTCACTAATTATTTGAGACTTTAAGTTTTAGGATGGCTTACATCCTCCTGGGCAGGAAGAAGTGAGATGCTGGCCATCGCCCCTGTTACATGAGGACATTATGGCAAACAAAATAAACCAGTCACAAAAACACAAATCATGCATGAGGGCTGGGACTGTGTCTTTTGGTGGAGTGCTTTCCTAGCATGTGTGAGGCATTGGGTTCCATTCTCGGCACCACATAAAAATAAATAAAGGTTCATCCACAACTAAGTGTGTGTGTGTGTATGTATGTGTGTGTGTATATATATATATATATATATATATATATATATATATATATACACACACAAATAATGCTCGATTCCACTCCCATTAGATCTCTAAAGTAGTCAAACCCTCCAAAACATGGACTAGAGGGAGGGGGAGACAGGTAGTCATTGTTAAGTGGGTGCTGAGTTTCAAGTTTGCAAGGTGAAAAAGTTCTGAAGACCTGGTGCACAACAATGCAAACATACATGACACTACTGAACAATACACTATAAAATATTTACAATAGCCGGGCATGGTGGCCCACACCTGTAATCCCAGTGGCTTATGAGGCTGAAACAGGAGGATCGAAAGTTCAAATCTGGCCCCAGCAAAAAAGTAAGGTGCTAAGCAACTCAGTGAGACCCTGTCTCTAAATAAAATACAAAATAGGGCAGGGAATGTGGTTCAGTGGTTGAGTGCCCCTGAGTTCAATCCCCAGTCCCCCCCCCCCAAAAAAAAAAAAAACTACAATGGCAAATTCTATTACCAACATCTGTGAACATCTGTGCCTCCCATCTTCATCATTGGACTTGACAATGAATAAATTTACCTCAGAAGTTTGCATCTAGCATTTATGCAATATAATAAAAATTTTTGTTGTTTCAGAGGTTTTCCTTGTTTTGTCTTTCAATGATGAGGCTTGGAAAAAAATTTAGGGATGGGAGGAGCACTAAGGATTGAAACCAGAGGTGCTTTACCACTGAGTTACATACCCAATTCTTTTTATTTATTTTTAAAATTATTTTATTAGTTGTTGAAGGATATTTATTTATTTATATGTGGTACTGAGAATCGAACACAGTGCCTCACACATGCTAGGCAAGTGCTCTACCACTGAGCCACAAACTCAGCCTCCTTTTTTATTTTGAGACAGGGTCTTGCAAATCACTGAGAATCTTGCCAAGTCACTGAGGCTGGCCTTGAAATTGGATCTGTCTGTCTCAGGCTCCCAAGTCACTGGGATTACAGGCGTGCACCACCACATCCAGCAAAAGGAAGAATATTTTTAAATGGACAATGGACCGTCTCACATATGTCAGATAAATAAGTTTAATAAGATTAGTAATACACATTTGGCTCACCTTTTAATTTAATGAAATCAAAATTTCAAACTGGAGAAAAATTATAACATAAATTTGCCATATATGAATTTTTTTACCAGAAATTTTTAAAAAATGGGGGGCTGGGGATGTGGCTCAAGCAGTAGTGCGCTTGCCTGGCATGTGTGGGGCACTGGGTTCGATCCTCAACACCATATAAAAATAAAAATAAAGATATTGTGTCTATCTAAAAAACTAAAAATAAATATTTTTTAAAAATTTGCAGGCAGGGAGCTCTTAGGGATTGAACCCAGGGCATAGCACATGCAAGACAAATGCTCTACTACCAAGCTACATCCCAAACCCTTTCTTATATTATTTTGATACAGGTTTTTGCTAAATTGCTGAAGCTGGCCTCAAACTTGTGATCCTCCTTCCTTAGACTCCCAAGTGGATGGAATTACAGGCAAATGCCATCATGCCCAGAAAAAAAAATATATATATATACACATACATATATATATTTTAAAGGTATTAAATTATTCTGTGTATCAGATATTTTACCACCTGCAGATAAAATATGATGATGAGCCGAGCACACATCTGTAATCCCAGAGGCTCAGGGAGCTGAAGCAGGATCATGAATTCAATACCAGCCTCAGCAACTTAGCAAGGCCCTAAGTAACTCAGTAAGATCCTGTCTCTCAATAAAATAAAAAAAGGGGGTCTG